TCCATCTCCAACGTCCCTTTCATAAACGCGATCAAAGTATCCAAAGAGTCTTCAGCGTCGTCATTTCTTTCAGATTTATACCCTTCGTACAGTTCATCCCCAAACTTCCAATCCCTCAACACTAACTTCCCAACAATCAGACCAGCGAGAAGAAGCGCTAGATCGATCTCCACGACGCAGAGCTTGTTAACGTCGCTTGTTACACGAAGAAAGCTTACGGGAAAACGGGATTTTCCCAAAGGAGTCGGTAAGACGAAGGACGAGAGAACGCGAAAGATTTGGTGCCGACGAGGCGGGAGGGTCAAGAACAATGTATCAGAGCTGGTGATGATAGTTGTAGACTTGGTATAACCCAGAATCTTCTTCTTCAACACGATGTAAGAAACCAAAACCAAAAGTGAGCAGCAGATAATGGCAAGTCCAAGTGCGAAAAGTGAGTCGAACGTTGAATTATTGTTGGAAAAGCGGTCGAGTCCGCGTTCATATTGAATTGTCCTGGAGCAAGAATCCTTAAAGTTGAGTAGGCCCGACTGCAGAGAGTGTAGTAACTCCAATAAACGTGTTGAGGGAGAAAATAAGATGGACCATTCTTGGAGAGCTCGAAAATCCAGAAGAAGAGTGGGAGCAGACAGAGTTGGACTGAAGGTTAGATGATACATGGAGTTCAAAGTACATGCAGAGTGTTTGTAGTTGATGGTATGATGTGTCAGGCTGGGAAACGGTCTAAATACGTGAATAACTAGTTAAAAAAGACAAAATACTGCTTGATCACTAGTATCACTACCCTACAAAAAATTACATTAATATGGGCATTGGTATATCAATCAAACTAAAAAACCACCAAGAAGCGGGGTAATATATATATACGCAAATACAAAAACAACACATTGAAAGCAATTTGGGGTACTTTAGACTTTATCCATACCACTTTCCGCCCATTCTCATCTGTGAGAGCTCTCGATGGGGGATCAAAGTCTCTGAAATCTCAAATACCTCTATAGCACGCTATTAAAGTGTACGCAGTCGTGCAGAATGAGTATTTGCAAAACTCCTTTTTTGGTCAAGGACTCACCTTCCAGATAGCCATATCCAGCTCAAACACTGTTTGACGTGTTTTAGGTTGTTCTACATATGTTCGCGTTTGAGGCTGTTCGGAATCCTCATCTGGTACTGTACAAAAGTCATTTTAATGACTGAGAAGAAGACCGACGTACCGTAAACAAGGGGTTCACCATCTTCCGCAAAGTCCAACCCAGCTTTCTCTTCCCTGATCAGAAACGACAGATAAAATAGATTTTCGACGGATTGGGAGAAACTGGTGGTGTTGATGATGAGGTGAAATAAATTCGTGGGTCCGATGTCTTCCAAAATGGCGTATATCTATCCAGAGAGCAGTGAGCAATCGCAACGGTACAAAAGAACACTCGCTGTGATGACGTTCCTCGTCGTCTCGTTTATAGTTCCTTGCAGATCTTCTTCAGTGATTTCTTGAGGTCTCCGCTCATCAGCCTTGTTTTTCTCAAGTCTGATACTCTTAGTCCGCTTCCGAGCTTGTTCAAGCGATATAGGACCTAGCCTGTACTATGAGGATGCATAACCTGAGCATTTCGTGGACCGAACAAAAACTCACATGAAACCGACAACGGGCACACGTCGAATCTTTTTCAAAGCTGGTTTTCCTATACGCTCCCACATGAATGGTTCAAGCAATTCCGAATCTTCTTCTTCATCAGAGCTATGTTCAACGGACTCAGGTTCTAGCTTGTGACCGCCCATGAAGGAAACCAGTTTCGATAGGTAATCATCGAAATCAAATATCCCAGTGCTTGATTTCAGTTGACGAACAAGATGAGCTGATCTCGAGGAAATCTCAAGTACTATATCGGAATCTAGGACGGCTTCGGGTGTATCTCTAACTGCAGACGACCTTGGATGTGAGGACAAATACAACATCATGATTCCCGGAAACAAACCTTGTTCAAAAAGGATGTCTGCTGTTTCGAGGACATCAGATAATTCACTGGCACATTGCTTGCCTTTGTGGTCCAAAGCTGTGAAGCTTTCTAAGTAACAGCGATCGGTGATTGACTATCGATTTACTAGCCTTGTAGTTGCTGTTGAGCAGCGCGGTACTTCCGTCGTAGCTCCCGCTTTATTTCAGGGTCTTGATCGGGGTTGTAAATCAGAGCTAGGGGATGAGTGTGTTAGGATATGACTTGACGTCTCGAAACATGGTAAACCAACTCACTGCTTTCATCGGAACCTGAAATTTCAGCGCCAGACATCTTTTTGGCGTGGTATTGTTTTGAGATTAGAAACTGTCTAAAAGAGATAGGTTTTGCAGCGTAGGCTGAGAGTTGGCCAGAGCACGATGTATTGAAACAGAGTAGATTCCGATACTAGCAAGGCGAAAGATACAAAAGAGATATAGTTAGATGTCGAAGTCGTCGTCGAAATCTTTTCTTCGCTGGAACTGTGATCGTAAGAGGTAATCAGGTTGATGGGTGGTAATGACCAGGAAAAGAATCAACGGACCACAATCTTAGACTGCTTTGTCGTCGTTTTGCCTTCAGCACTTTCCATCTGATTAATGAACAACATTATAGCTGCGAGTTCTACAGAACAAAGCGAAGAAGAAGACACACTTGATCCAGCAGCTCAATCAACTGGTCCTCAGACACTCTTCCTCTTAATTGACCCGACTGCGCCATTCTCAATAGAATTATCTCGATTTGCTTGGACCTTTCAGGACTAACAAGGGATATGCGCGATACTTGGATTGCGAAAACTAAGAAGCTGTGTATTGTCATGGAAGTCTAGGAGACATACATCGTTCTCGAGCACCATTATCCAGTACTGTAGCCATCATATCACGTCGCATCTGCTCCTCCTGCGCTCTCTTTGCTGCCTCCTCTTCTGCATTCTGACCACCTTGAGCACCGTCTCGTATTTGGCTGAGATCCATCGAATCGACGTTATGAGCTGAATCGCGCCGACCGGTCCCGTCCGGAATAACTGCTCTTATTTCCGAACTTTCTCCGACTTGCCCTGGGCCCTTTCAAGCTGCACAAGAACAAGTTGAAAAACAACCGCCACATATAGCTGCCTTTGTCTTTGTGTCTCTTCAGTTCATGTCCTAAAGAACAAAAGACATGGAACAACGTGACTGCCATTCCAAAAAGGCTGGTCAACCATTGTTCAGTAAATGTTATTGTTCTTGTCTCCAGTATAAAAGCGCGGCTAGCAGAATGGCTTATTCTTCACCTATTCTCTTTTCATTCCCTAGACGCACGACTTTCTTTTACGACTTGATAAGCTTATCTCGCTTTTAACTCTTCTCCACACTACAAAGTCGCCATAATGTTCTTTCACAAAACTTCTGCTTTTGCTGCCCTAGTAGGCATTTCTCTTGCAGCCATTCCACCCGTTGTGCGCTCTGCCACAATCGACGTGACTGTCGGAGGACCTAATGGAACCGTTGCCTACTCACCTGAATATGTCGTACGTTGTTGTACAATTGCAGGATTTTGAAAGCTTTAGTCACCTTTTCATTTCAGAACGCCAGCATCGGCGACGTTGTTCGGTTTACGTTTGAGCAGAAAAATCACACCGTGACCCAGTCATCATTTGCTTCTCCTTGTTCCCCGCTTGCCAGTGGTTTCGATTCTGGATTGTGAGTATCGTAACCTTATTCCTCTGCGCGCCATCTAATGCTAATGGATTTGTCCTCAATTAGTGTCCCGGTCGCAGATAATGTCACCAGCGACTTTATCACAGCCGAACTCACCATTGAAAACACGGACGTGAGTTATTTTGTAGATCTTTATGCTGCACTCATTAACGCGACGCGTTTGTGTAGCCTGTTTGGGTATATTGTCGTCAAACTGGCCACTGCGAACAGGGAATGGTATTTGCCGTCAACCCAGGCTCCGACGCTAAGTTCGCGGCTTTCAAGGCCGCCGCTTTGGGTCTCAACTCGACCTCGACTGCTTCCGCCTCAGTGGTCACAGTGACTGCGACAGTTACTGTTTCTGGAGGCGAATCTATCACCACAACATATGGCTCTTACCCTGGGTCTTCCGCTCCCACTTCCGCGACAACAACAGACCACCGGATCATTGTTGGTGATAATGGCACGCTCACCTACAGTCCTGCCAACATTACTGCCCAGATTGGAGATACGCTCACTTTTGAGTTCCATCAGAAAAACCATACTGCCACTCAGAGCTCTTTCGCCAATGTATGTCGATGTTCGTCGTCTCTAGTGAAAGGTGTAGCTCATCTAGTACCTTTCTAGCCTTGCACTCCTTTGTCCGCGAGCAGCCCTGGAACTTCCAGTTTCGATTCTGGATTCATGCCTGTCTCGACAAACGCTACCACCTTCCCCACCGTAACTATTCAGATCAACGACGTAAGTCAAAACCCTTTTTCTGTGTTTTTTTTCTTGGGTCTGATGTTCCCCCTGCAGACCAAACCGTTTTGGGCTTACTGTCGCCAAAGCACCCCGGTTTCTCACTGTGAATCAGGCATGGTATTCAGCGTCAATGCCGTCGAGAGCAGTAACAGTTCATTCGAGGCTTTCCAAGCTAAAGCCATTGCGCTCAACACTACATCTGCTTCTGGATCTGCTTCTCTATCTTCACCCTCCGCAACATCGACTAGCAATAGCGCAGTATCAATACATGAGTTCTACGGTGCTGGCATCGTGATTGCCGTTGTTAGCGCTATGATTGGTGCTTTACCTTAGTCAGGCGCTGGTTCTCTTTCATTATCAGGGCCTGGGTTATTGACGGACAAATGTATCCTTACGCAATGTATCCTATATTCGCCGGTGGCTTTACACTAGCCGCTCTTATTCTGGCTTATTATTTCTGACTCGATGTCGCATTTCATTTCATATATGTTGGACAATCATGTTGTATCTTTGTACCGCCTAATTTGTACTGGAGTGTGCCCAATGTCATCAAGATATCACAATTCTTAACCCGAAATTGCTTACTGCCTGCCTAGCTCAATCGGATAGAGCGTCAGACTCTTACCAAGTCCGATTGTGGTGTGTAGTTGATCTGAAGGCTGCGAGTTCGACCCTCGCGGTGGGCTATTGCGCTCAATTTTTCTCGATGGGGCCAATCGTGATTAGTTACTTTTTCTCAGTAGAAGGACTTGCTGCTTCACTTCATTCTTAAGTTGATTGTTCAACTCCAACAGCACATGCATTTGCGACATTCGCCACCAATTCCTGTCCAAGTCCCGATCGACGGGGTTAGGAAACGCGTCCCTAAATATAAACATAGGTCTCTGTCATTCTCACCTCTTTCCGAATGTGAAATCTCCCGTCGCTTCATATTCAAACATTTTCGATGTTCATCACCTTGTGATATTTTCCCCACAAAATTCACAATGTCCCTTGGTCATCTGATTGCTTGAAGCGTCGTCTCGCTACAAACCGCCATATGTGCACCTCTAATTCGTATTCTATCTCCCCGGCTTGCTAGGACAGCGGGGTGGTTTCAGCCATGGAAAAAATCGCATAAATGGCTTGGGCGGAATGAGCTCAACCTCGAAAGCGTTCCCCACACGGATCTCTCTTTTCAGGATGTCCTCTTTGCTGATCATCTCCGCTGCACTTATTGCTTGTGGTTTGACTTCCGCCAACCCCGTCGATCTGCATCGGAGAGCCGTCACTCAGTTGTCGACCACGGAGCTCGCTAGTTTTGCTCCCTTCACCCAGTTCGCCAGGGCAGCGTACTGTGGCACCGATATCCTACAAGATTGGACTTGTGGAGGTAAATTACATGTTGCCTGTACGCGAAATGCAATATGTACTCAGGAAGTGATTCCGGGGTCCTCTAGAGGCTTGTGAGGCCAACGCGGATTTTGCAGTATCTCTTGTTGGTGGAGACGACAACGATATACAGAATTGTGGGTGACTCTGCATTTCCTTAGTTTATTTGGATTTCATCATTATCATCAGATTTTGTTGGGTACTTCTCACTTCAGAGCCTCCATGGATTATTATTAAACCAGCGGACAGATATTCTCCTTCACTGGAAGCCATCATCGTGGCTCATGAGGTATGCATGTTGCATACTCGCACCAATCCATAAAGATTCAAATTTGCTTTTAGGGCACGGATCCTACACAACTGTGAGTTCCGCAAATCGCCGCTATACGACGGAAACCTTACATACTTACACTAGTGAATCCGATCTTACAGACATAGATGTTCCTTTAGCCACACTGGACAGCACCCTCTTCCCTGGAATTTCTTCCGACGTGGAGGTACATACTGGGTTTCAAGACGAACATGCCTTAACTGCCAGTATCATCTTAACAGAGGTCCAGTCCCTCATGAGCTCCGTAGGGACTAACAATATTGTTGCGGTTCGCAGACCCGTCGCACCCTCCAGATGCATGTCTTGACGAGAAATAACAGGTTGGCCACTCTCTTGGCGGAGCACTAGCTGAAATTGACACGGTATTCTTCCGCCTCAACATTCCTTCCGCCAATATATCAGCAATGACATACGGAACACCGCGAGTGGGGAACCCTGCTTGGGCTGCATTGGTCGACGCTTCAGACGTACGCTGTATTATGTCCCCAGCTTCAAGCTAAATGTGTTCGTAAAACATTGATCGACTCTCACTAGGTCAATTTCAAGCGGATAGACAATATGCAAGGTATGTTCTTTCAAACCTTCCTTTCATGATATTGCTGAATGTTACATGATGTACAGATTTAATACCAATTGTTCCAGGGAGGACATTAGGATATGAGCATCCAGCAGGAGAGATCCATATTCTCTCTGCCGGCGATGTAGTTTCGTGCCCTGGCGAGGACGACGCTACTGATTCTGAGTGTCAGATCGTACGTTCGACCGACGCCATTCACTCATATGTACTGTTGGTTTCTGATGACCTCTCTCAAGGATTCCGTCCCGACTGTGTTCCAAGGGAACATCATAGACCACGTATGTCAATTCGTTCAGATCTCTTCTTGACTGCACTAATTTCTTGGTCTTTCTTTCTTTTGTAAAGCTTGGCCCATACGAGGGTATATATATCGGAACTGTATTTTGTACTTAGGCTTAAAAACGCGTCAACTCGTCATTCCGGCCCTCTAAATCTTTCCTAAGTTCACCGCCACAATGTGAATCCTTGCTTCCTCTGCGATTCATAGCTATTCGTGTCTGGTTTTCAGGGTTAAGTGATTGCATGATCTGACAACCACCATTCAAACTTACCTTAGCGTTTAACCACGATGTTACCCACTCCCGTGGACTACGTCGTCTCAGAGAAACGCTAGAATCTTTCTGGTAAACAGCCGTACCTATCTTGCAACTCGTCCTCGAGTCTCCGGATCTGACGACTGTCGAAGCATTGTTAGATGCTGACACAACGCGGCTGATATTTCAACCTCCCCATTGTGTACGGAAGAGTCGATGAATTTTTTACTGAGCGGGTCAAGATATCTTATGATCATGCTCTTACAGCTAGGCCTACTGCATCTGACTTGAAGCCAGTCAAATATGTCAGGGTGTAAGTCGCTCAATTCTCTGCCGCGACAAAAAAACATGCCTACTGCATCTGACTTGAAGCCAGTCAGATATGTCAGGGTGTAAGTCGCTCAACTCTCTGCCGCGACAAAAAACATGCCACATATGTGCAGCAGCATAAATACCAGTGGTAAGTCTATCAAATGGTAGGAGATCAAGGAAATATGGACGGTTCACTGCGGAGGATGCAGTGTAACACTTTCAAAAGACATGCAGGTAGACAACGCACTTGAGAGAACCCTGAAGCTAGAGAAGTGAGGTTACAACTTGAACAAAGACGCAGATACAGATGTAAGTACATATGATGTTTGTGGACCACTGATATTTCGACATATATAGTAATAATACATATAACCCGCTTCCCCGTCTCCTTACCTTTCTACCATCACCATCCCAATACTCTCTTCCCGAGAACTTCCTCTCATTTTGGTTGCCTCGTTTTCACTAGTGTTTCCTATCATATCACGACAGGTTTCCAGTAAAATCGAGAAATCGTTAGCACTAAAGATGACTTAGAGTATTTGTCCTCGAAAACGAGGGGAAATTTGTTGGGGTAAAACCAACGGAAAGCCATGGCAGGGTAAGAAAATTCACGAGGAAACCAATATCAGAATATATTGCAAGGACATACCTTTTTTGACGGCGACGAACTATGGCACGGTTGTCAGGGAGAAACACTTCGTGATGATATAGGCTGCTTGCGAGTGCTTTGACGTGACGCCCTACGCGCTTACTCAATACCTTCAACGTAGAAAATGTCTAGTATGGGAATGGATTACTTGAGAGTAACTAAAGCAATGATGGGTCGGGTATCAGTCTGACGTGGTAAAGGGTTCCGATCCAAGTTTCAAGGCTCTGTGTCCTTCCTTGTTGAATATTGTGGCACAAAGGCCTAATTTCAGAGGTCCGGTTTTGATTCGATACTGATATTCTAACAACTGGTACTGGAGTACATTGGGGTGCTCAAACAGTTCGGGCATGGTCACGATATAATTCGTTATCATATAGAGCCAACGATCGGACCTGCCAGTAGTGCACCCGAGGAAGTAATCTTGAATGTGCTCCAAACACGAGAGACCTGAATACCGAATATCTCTCAGTTATTATCGGTCCCACTGTGAGAGGTGTAAAAACTGCTTACCGAAAATTTGGAGCGGAACACCTCAACAACATGGGCTGTTGATCTGTCTTCATTTTCTATCTGCTCGGGGTAAATAGACACCCATAAAGTCGCGTCAGTCATGAATGTGAACGAGGGACCAAGGGCAGGTTTTCGAATCGTTGAAGCAAAATCGGAATAAGGATTCGAGACAGGTTCAGCAGATGTTTGTGATCTACCTGTAGAAGGGGCTCGCATGAGCGTTGCGTTATTGACTAGCTTGTATGCACATGAGCAAGTTTTAGAACAGGGTGCTGGGATCACGAACTAGTACGAGCAAAGAGTGCCGAGTTGCCAGTTCGCGAAGATAGCGCATGAAGGCGCTCATGATGGCATGTCCTTGAGACGAGACAGCACTCAGAAATGGACCAAGTAAAGGAGTGACCGAGTCGATAACAACGCATTTCATGCGGGGGATTGACGCTTGCTTTGTTATATGAGCCGCAGCTTTTGGGACGAAGGTCAGGAGATCGACGGCTTACAAGTGCAAGCTGGAGATCCAGGGCACGAAAGATTTTTTGAACAGACTCTATGTCGACCGCGGTAGAGATATGCAGCCTTTGTAGCATGGCTTCCATGTCATCTACAGTCTGGGAAATAATCAATTCAGGGTTTGATTCAATATTTGACTGCCTTAACTTGCTGGTGATGTTCCAGAATTTGTACAGCTCTTTGGACGGAAAAGTCGCCCGTAGTGTCAATCCATAGAATTTCAATTTCTTTGTTCTTAAGAAGGAGCTCTAAGGCCCAGTTGAGCAGCAAAATCTTCGGTTCTCAGTCTTGGACACATATAGAGGTCAAGCAAAGAGAAACTTACACTTTTTCCCGAACCCCGATCACCAGAAATCTCAATGACACGAGTACAGGTTAGGCCGCCACCAAGCTGTTCATCCAGAGCAGATAATGTATCCATCTTGAAGTCCGAGCGAATTTCGAGATCAAGTTCGGCGGCGCTTTGCCCTGGAGCCGCAAGTTTTTCCGATATGGCCTCGATACATGCTTCAAAATCAGGAAAGGATATAGATTTTGAGGACAGGCGTGTGTATATTCCGAGCGAAGAAGTGTTCGAGAAGACCAAATCAGTGCTCGTCAAGATACCCAAGGACGCCAGCTGGGTTGCGAGACCATCAGGCAATGTAGATGGAGGGAGAGCTGTCAGTAGCATGACTACAAGGTATTTTGTGCATCAATTCGGGTTGGAGGTTGTTATTATCAAATGAACGCGCTATCGTCACGCGTTGGACGCGACGTGACTGACTCCTTTTGCCTTTCAACAATCATGTCTGAACTTAGCCCTCGCGTCAATTCCGCGATTTTACCCCGTTTCATAGGCCATATGGTTCGAATTCCCTGTAAAGTTCTCACAGTGTGTGATTTCAATGTTCAAATCATTCCCAAGGCTGAAGAGAATGACAGACAACTGATAGCACAGTGACGGTGCAAACTTCAGACGGTGGCGAAGTTCTTGTCAAATACAGTGGGGTAATTTTGACTTGCTTGTTTCACTGCACGTATACCTGATACTCTTTATCAGGATCATGGAATATCAACATCCTACGCCGAAATCATTGGACAAGTAATTGACCAGACAACAGTGAAGAAAGCGGCTGTCATAAACTTACAATCTGAATTAGGTGCGTCAAAGCTAGCATGCTTGAACTGGATTATCTTTCGATTATTTTGCTCTTAGACTTACAAATGGTGGACCGAGTGATCAAATCGATTCATGACCCGCGTTTCTTCTCCACCATATTCTCGTAACTATCCATGTACCATTTCATAGCACAACACGTCGATGCTCTTAATTCATGCCTCAAGCTTGAGGTGGTTATATAGGCAGAATCTCTCCCGCTCAACTGTGACGCTATATAAGCGAAAACATGTGCCCCATGGCTGAGTTGGTTACAGCGTCCGACTGTTAAGATTGAACTATCGGAAGGTCGAGAGTTCGAGCCTCTCTGGGGCAGTAGGTTTGTTTTTTTGCCTTTCCCTTAATTACTCGCACGGACCAGCCAACCTTTCCTCGTGGGATATTCCACAGCGTACATAAACGAACTTTCGTTTTTTTTCCTTCTGTCTTGAAATTTTCTCTCTCTGTCCTGTCTGCACGAGCTACATAAAGGTAAGCTTCCTTCCTATTATTCTTACAGGATGAAATGCACTGGGCTCTAAGTAAATAATGCTGCGATGCACTACGCTCTAAGGAGCGGCGGCCTAGAAAACCGTTAACTGATTTATGTTCACTGTTGCATTTCCAGTACAAGTTTACTCATCTGTTTTTTTCAGGTCCTTTTCCTCTTCCTTAATGTCCTATCCATTTTCCGCCTTTCAAATTGTGCCGACTGTTCGATAGAGTTTTCAAATCATGTAGATTACTCGTTGAGATCTCATACGAATTATACACAATATCGAAATAATTAAACTAATCGTTGATATATTCCACGCTCAAATAAATCCATGATGTGACTTGCAAAGTCAGTACTCGTCGGAGTACTCGATAAGTCGTGAAAGCGGACGACCCATGTAAGGTAGATTCCGGTAAGGAATGTCTTCTACAATATTGACGCGCTCTCCATACCGAGCAAAACGTTCTGCCAAACCCCTTCTGTAACTGACAATATAGACAGCTCGCAGCATTGTAACTTCCTTGAGGGTTGGGTCTAGTCGCATGGCGAGGAACTGTTCTAAAGTCAATTCCGAGAAGGTAAAGCGGTCGGGAAGGTGAATTATCTCTAGACGAGGACAAAGGAGGTCTTCCGAGTTGGAGAGAGCTTTTAACAGTTCTTCGTCGATAATAGGAGTTTGTGTACTACTTTCCGTGAAAACCAATGCTTTCAACGAAGGCATGGCCCTCAATAAATCTATCACTAATGAGGTAGTCAAATTGGTCGAGCGCTTGACATCTAGTTTCAGACTTTGTAGAGGATATTGTGATCTGTGAAGCATGCCCTTCAACGAAGCTAGCACTATAGTGTTCAGCTCTGCACGGTATCCTTCTAGGTGCAGGTGCCGAAGACTCGGTAGAGAAAGCTGATCGAGGACCTCTGCCATAACAATGGAGTTTGTGCTCACAGATAGCTTCTCCAAATGAGGAAGAGAGATCGGATTATCCAACGTCGTGGTCAGATCAGTACGAGCGTGTATTATCAACACACACTCCCTCAACTCTGTACATTTGGCGAGAATGTGCATGAGCTCTTGAGCACCGAAATTCCAGTCGTTGTAGTCTAACGAGAGAAAATGTAGTTGATTCCAAGGCACAACAGGACGGAAGAGAGGTCCCGCATCACCAAGGTTGATACGTCTAAGAAAGGGTGCTGTCTCTAGGAAAGGAGGATGGCGACTGGCATGATCCAAAACAAAAGGATTTGAGTCAGAGCATGCGATAACCGCGGACTCGAGTTGTGGAACGTCAATTCCTCGAAGTTCACTGAAGACATGCAAAGAAGAAGCAGGTACTTGAAGGCTGAGATACTTCCACTGCTTACATAGAGGGACAAGCAGCGAGAGCGTACGAGCCACCTGGGGTACATCCTCCTGATAAGTGTCCTCGTTTCGCGAAAACACAGAGATGTGAAGAGGAAGCATCCCTGCTCTTTGCAACCAGGTAGAAAAGCCATGCCGTAGCCTCTCGCACTTTACATTGAACTCCTGGAATGTATGGAGCGCCTCTGGAACCGTTACATGAACGGCAGACCAAAGCTCTGGCGTGGCAATAGATATAGAGCGCCAACGGCTACATATGCGCCCAAGAAAGAGAGGACCCTCGTCGGAAGAAAGGATAGGAAAAGATTCAAGAGTCCACGTGAAAATCTGTTGGAGTATTTCCGTGGGACACCTCCGGAGAGGCGAAAGAACAGCTCGGTATACATCGAGCTTCTTCTGAAGCTCGTCGCGTTTCCCTGTTATTGACTGCAAAGAAGACTGTAGTTGTAGAATCTGATGGTTCAGCCGGTCCAGCTCCTGAGCAGATTCAGAACATAGATCCGTTATGTAGCCTACATCTTCTTCTGTAGGTACATTGTTGGATACCAGGAGCTTGGAAAGGCGATTTTCCATAACCTACAAAAGACAAGGGAGCAGAAAAAGAAAAGCATGTTATCACAACTTTAAACAAGGCCGGTGAACCGCGGAGATGAGGATGTCACGTGCTCCGCGTCTCGAGCTCTCTACCTCTCAACCATGCCTGTGGCAAAAGTTGCACGTCGTGTCAAAACTACGAAAACCAGTCGGCAAGTGTTGAATCATCATATTCTCTATCGAGAATTTCAACTCAGTACCACTTAGACGTTTAGTGTCTTCTGTAACCAATACAGCTCTGATTATCGACAAGTCTGCAAGCACGCTACCTGTAGAACTACATGCCACTGTTGCCGCGCAGCTTGATACACTGGAAAAAGAGACGATGTGTCCTTCGTGGTATCAAGCTCTGAAGGGCGAATTTGGGAAAACTTATTTTTCGAAGGTATGCATGCAACCTTTGGACTGGGCCGCTCAGCTCACGAACAAATCTGTCAGCTCAAGGCTTTCCTGGCTACCGAGCTTAGCACCTCGACGGTTTACCCTCGATGTCCGTTCAATCCATTATGACGTTGGCTCATCGTTCTCATTCTTACTATCAAGTAGAAGATGTCTATTCATGGTCTCGATTAACGCCGCTGGATAATGTGAAGGTCATAATACTGGGGCAGGTGCGATGCCATTGAGCTTTTTAGTGTTCGTATCTGATATACAAAACATAGGATCCGTATCACAATGTTGGTCAAGCGCATGGTCGGTCTATTCGATGTTCCGCGATTGAAAACAATACGATGCCATTCATTGCAGGTCTATCATTCTCTGTTCTGCCTCCAACAGCGCTACCCGGGTCGCTGAAGAATATCTATAAACAAATCGCTACGGATGTACCCACATTCAAGGTTCCCACAACTGGGTCAGTTGAATATCAACTGTTATCTTCTTTGTGGATTACATTGTTTATTTGTAGTGACCTGACCCCCCTTGCACGGCTTGGAGTTTTGTGGCTGAATACCTCGCTCACTGTCCGAGCTCATAAAGCAGGCTCTCATGCCAGAAAAGGTTGGGAAACACTTACCGCACAAGCTATCAAGGCTGTCACTTCAAGGTCGCAAAGCCAAGGAGTTGTGTTCATGGCTTGGGGCCTTCCTGCACAGAAGGTTTGTGATAAGATAGGAATTGATGAGGTAACGAGCCTATTTCTTCCTTCCTTCAAAGATCTCAACTTTCTGACCCTGGTTCAGACGAAGCATCTTGTGTTGAGGTAGGTTGTAATCTGTGGTGTGATTTCTCGTGTATCACGAACATTTTGATCAATAGATCTGCTCATCCCTCACCGCTCTCTGCCTATAGAGGCTTTCTTGGCAACGGGCACTTCAAACTAGCGAACGAGTGGCTCAGAGAAGAATATGGTGAAGGCGAGGAGATAGATTGGGCAGTGATTGGCCGTTGAATACGAGTCTTGTTGATTTTTTTCACGGTATAGTCATTCCCACGTCCTCTGAACTTCCTACCTCTTATGAAATTGCCTCGGAACACCTGAAAACAGGTGAAATCGGTATCGGACTTGGATGATTGAACTTCGTTTACCATTGTAGTACATTATCCGATACTCGATTGTGGTTAATTTGTTGAAGTTCGAACTAGACTCACTGTATAAGGCCAACACTGAAATTCTGTATTCTGTAAACAGATTTATGTTACAAATATGTGTGAACCACTTACAAAAGACGTAGAAAGTGCAAGTTATGTCCAATGTACTCATATTCTAGTATTCATATCATGTACAAAGCCCTAGAATGCACAGATAATGGTGAAGTTTTCAAAATACAGGGAAGGCGGAAAGTCGGGATGTCACATCATGCTTTTCAAAAAGAGTGGATCCGCAATCACCCACCAAGCATTGCAAATAGTATGTCAGATTAGCTTTCCCAAATACCTGGTTGATTAATAATACATACACCTGATCTGGATATCACACCTGATGTGATGACTGTTCAAAGGGGTACAAATGCATTGATAATGAACTTTTACACTGATAACAGTATTCATATTACAATACTGTGATGATGAAGGGGGAAAGCACAGGCTCAAGCACAAGCCAAGGTGAGGAGTGGGGCTAGCACCACACACGAAGGCTGAAAGAGATAATGATCAAGACAACAGTGACAGTGCAAGGGCCAATCACTAGGGTCGCACAAGGAAAACTAGTTCCAAAGACCAAGTTTAGTATATTGACTGTAAAGAAGATACAAATACTAACCTAGTTCCAAAGACTAAGAGGTGTCAACTGCAGTACTATATATAGGAGTGTCCGGATGAGTAAGTGACAGCGTGGGAAAGGAAAGCTTATGGAAAAATGAAGTAGGTACCCATATATGTCATGACAAGTGCCCTCTCTTCATCACTAAAAAATCTAACCAGCACTCTTCATTCAAGGCTGTCAAGATCATGCAACTCCAGAATGGTGTAATAATCATGATATAATCGTGGAATTGGGTGGGAATGTGAGGCAATGATTCCCTTGTGAACAGAGGAACAATTCACAGAGTTTAGGAGAAGTAATTGGACATTGACACTACTATTGGTAGTGCTCTCAACAGGTCAATGGTCCAATGGTAAAGGAGTTAGTAGCAGCATCAGTTTGCAAAAGTTGCTTCACAGAATGTCAGAGCAGTGTTGATAATGTATTACAGAGAATGAACATCCATAATATGAATATGGTGTTATGATTGTGCACTGAGGGATTGTCAAATTAGCATTGCAGGGTTAATCATTGGGAATGAAGAGTGAAGGAGAATACTTTGCAGGGTAATGATCCTAAGATGTTAGTCAGACCTTGACTCCACTATTAATGGAGTCCTTGACACTTTGCATGTCCAATAGAGAAGAAATGAAATGTGTTCCATTTGTGATGACCTTCACAGAATGTACTGGCAAGAGGGATGTT